AGAGTGTTGACTGTGGAGCCAAGCAAACTAAAGCTGTGAACAATCTCAATCTCTTCACCCTCCATCCTGTTGCTGCCAATTGGTCCAGCATTTCTCCTAAATCTTGCCTTAGCATTCTGATTTGCCTTTTTCTATGACGAATTTGTTCTTTTGAAAGTCCATGGTTTGTTCATTATTCTTTGCCAACACCATAATTTCATTCAAAGTTATTCACTCTTTTATTTATCCCCAGCTGTCAAATGGTTATGAGACAAATTAAAATACATGCTGCTTGTTATTAGGCCTCTTTTAGTCCAGTACCGATAAAAAAACAACAGATCTGAACTCTGTCCAACTCTGTCCTGTCCCTGATACACTTGAGCCTTTTCCTGCAGTCACCGTGTCAATCCATCTCATTGAGGGCCTTACTCATTCCAAGCATGATGTCCATTTCTAAGGAACAGCCTCTCCTAGCAACTGTCATGCAGTGATGATGGAAAAGAAGGTGTCCCAAGTAAGAAATAGAGTTGTTGTTGTTGTTGTTGTTGTTATGTGCCGTCGAGTCGCTTGCGACTCATAGCAACCCTGTGAACAACAGCCCTGAACTCTGCTCTGTCCTGTGCCAATCGCACTGTCTCTGACACTTCCATCCTGATTACCCCAGTCACTGAATCAATCCACCTCATAGAGGGCCTTCCCCTCCTGCTCCGTCCCTCCAACCTCCCAAGCATGATGTCCCTCTCCAAGGAGCGGTCCCTCCTTACAACATGTCCGAAGTATGTTAGACGGAGCCTCAGAATCCTTGCCTCCAAGGAGCTGCCTGGTTTAACCCTTTCCAGGATGAATCTGTTTGTTTTCTTGGCAGTCCATGGTACATTCAATACTCTTCTCCAGCACCACAGCTCAAAGGCATCAATTCTCCTTCTGTCCTCTCTAGTCATTGTCCAACTCTCTGATGCATAACAAGTGATTGCAAAGACCATGGCCTGTATCAGATACACCTTTGTCTCCAGAGTGACACCATTGCCCTTCAGTACTTTGGAGAGGTCCCTAACAGTGGCAATACACCTTTTAATTTCCTGGCTACTGGTGCCAAGAGTGGTTGAAAATTGTTTATTTCAACAAATCATTTTATTCTCCCCCTGAAATGATTATGTGGAGCTGCATAATCAGTGTGGTTAAAATCTTAGAAATTGTTGTTAGATGCCATTGAGTTGATTTTTACTATGGTGACCATATGGGCTTATATATATAAGAATACTGTCTTCAGTATGGATTGCATCTCAATGTCAAGAAAACAAAAAATTTTTACCACTGGACCTATAGATAGATGGAGAAAAGATTAAAGTTGTCAACCATTTCATCTTACTTGGATCCACAATCATACCTTTGTACTAACAGGAAATCAAGAGACATTGTACTGTACTAGACAAGTTTGCAGCAGGGACCTTTTCAAATTATTGAGGAGCAATGATACCTGTTTGATGACTAAGGTTCATCTGATTCAGACCATGGTCTTTCCAATCACTTATGTATCTGTGAGGTGGACAGTGAATAAAGATGACAGAGAAAATTGATGCCTCTGAGTTGTGGGGTTGGAGAAGAGCACTGAACATCCCATGGACTATCAAAAGAACAAACAAATATGTCTTGGAGAAAGTGCAGCCAGAATGCTCTTTTGAGGCAAAGATGATAAAGCTTTGTCTCTCATGGCTCGAATCCACCAGGTGCTCTGCTGGAGAAGGAGGGGCAGTCTCATCCTGTGCCAGTTGGATCTGATTTGATGGTACACAACAAGGAAAAAAAAATAAAGCTTTGTCTCACATACTTTAAGCATGTTGCTAGGAGAAGCTATTCCTTAGAGAGGGACATCAAGCTTGGAAAAGTGGAGGGAAGGTGGAAGAGGAAGACCTTCAACCAGATGGATTGACACGGTGACTGCTGCAGTGGGCTCTGGTGTGTCTGGAAGTGTGAGGATGGGACAGGATAGGACAGAATTCAGCTCTGTTGTTCTTAGGGTCGCAATGAGTCATACTCAACTTGAAGGCACCTAGCAACTATGTAAGCTATTTAGATATTCAACTCTTAAGAATTTTACCACTTCCAAGTTATGTACCTAGACTTAATTTCCTTGATTCCTCTGATTTTTCATATTTGTTTGTTCTCTTAGCAGTCCCTGAGATAGTCAGTACTCTTCAACACCTTTGAATTGATGCCTTTGAACTGTGATATTGGAGAAGAGCACTGAATATCGCATGGGTGGCCAAGAGAACAAATATATCTGTAAGGGTGGTTGAACAAATATATTTCTCTGCTTAATACATTGACACTATTGTCTTTTCCTTAAATGCCAGTGCTTTAAATTACATTAAAAAAACTTCTATTTTTAGTATTCAGCTAGGTCTCTCTGGTGAATATACTAACAAATAGAGTTTCTGTTCCTTTATTAATTTATTTCATTGAGCAGACTTTGCTAAGCAGTCTTTTATTGTTGTTAGGTACCATTGAGTTGAGAGTGACTTATAGCAACCTTCTGAACAACAGATCTGAACCGTGTCATATCCTGTGCCATACTCATTGTTCCAAGTCACTGTGTCACTGTGTCACTCCATCTCATTATGGGTTTTCCTCTCTTTAGTTTGTCCTCCATCTTTCTAAGCATGATGTACCTTTCCAGGGAATAGCTTTTCCTAACAATATACCCAAAATATGTTAGACAAAGCTTTGTCATCTTTGTCTCCGAGGAGCATTCTAGCTGCACTTTGTCTAAGATGTATATTTGTTCTTTTGGCAGTTCATGCGATATTCAGTACTCTCCTCCAACACCACAGCTCTAAAATATCAGTTCTCCTCTTGTTATCCTTATTCACTGTCCAGCTTTCAGATGCATAGCAAATGATTAAAAAAGATCATGGCCTGAATCAGGCACTCTTTAGTCTTCAAACTGACATTACTGTTCCTCAATTATTTGGAGAGGTCCTTCATGGCAGACTTGCTCAATGCAGTACGTCTTCTGATTTCCTGTCTGTTGGTACCAAGGGGGTAGATGCAATGTTTTAGGAATGGGTACTGCAGTAGGAAATAAAAGATACTCTTTCTTTTGGTAGCATGAAATGTAAACTCTTAAAAAAGAAATTATGCATCTTAATAGTATATCCAGGGCTAGGACAAGATTTAGGTTTAGGCTCACTACCATTGGCTGCTTGGACCAGTACAAGGGAAGAAGACCCTCCGTGAGGTGGATTGACACAGTGACTACAACAACAGGATTAAGCATGACAGAGAAGACAAAGTTTCTGTCCATAGGGTCACTGAGTTGTAGTTAGCTTGATGTGGCACACAGTAACAAGTTTTATTAAGCTTTTTAATATAATAAATGTTCCTAACTTATATAAATTTAAATGGAAAGTAATTCTTTGACCACAAAGAATTTTTGTAAGGCTAGGAATTTTTTCCCCCGCTTTAAAAAAAAAAAAAAAAGATAATAGGGAGATGATAGTAGTAGTCTTTTATATTAGTATAAGTTGTTGTTGTTGTTGTTGTTGTGTGCCTTCCAATCGGAACCAACCCATAGTTGACCTGCAGTGGGTTTTCAGAGGCAGTTAATCACATGGGAGGAGATTGCCCATCTCGGTCACCAGAGTTCCCCCTATATATGATATGATATGATATGATATGATATGATATACTAAATATACTATACTATAATATACTATACCATAATATAATATATTAATATGTTGTTGTGTACTGTAGAGTCAGAACTGACCTATAGCAGACCCTCTGGTGGGTTTTTCAGAGACAATTAACCACATGGAAGAAGATTGCCCATCCTTTTCCAGTGATGCAGTGGCCTCAAACCACATGTCTTTGGTATTGCAGTACAGCTTCTTGCCATTAGGCCACCAGAACTAGCTATAGAAGTCACATATATAAAAAGATAGATATATAGACATATATAGTCATATATGTTGTTTGTTGTTTAATGCCTGAGCACTGTTCGTACATAGAGTTTCCGGAGGCAAGCCATTTTGGAAGTGGATGCCGCTCCTGCTTCCAGGGCACCATGGGTGCCCATTACCACGGTTGGTACATCACTGTCACAGGCTTCAGCATCACAGCAACCACGAGTTACCTCTGTACAGCAACGCACAGACCAGTGCTATACCACCTAGAAGAATGTTTGACAGGAAGACAATTTGAACCTGGCCGAGGGCCACAGATGACAATCCACCTACCTTCAGCTGGGTAGCACAGCTTCCTTCCACTAAGCCAACGTAATAGTCCTATATACATAGTCATATATAAAAGCCTTTTTTTCCTACTGCTATGAAGTTGATTCCAACTCATAAGGGCTACCTCCTTGAGTTTCTGAGGCTATAAAACTTCACAGGACCAGACCTCCTCCTCTTTCTTTGGAGTGGCTGGTAGATTCAAACTGCTGACCTTTCAGTTAGTGTTCTTATGCTTATATAAGTCCTTATATCACTTACCCTTATAGTTTGAGGTTGCATACTCTGATATGTGACAAATATTTCATTTGTTGTCAAGCTCTTCCTATTTGTAAATAAATTTCATGTGAAGAAGGGGGAGCTTTGTGTTTTGTTCATTGTTGTATTCCTAGCCTAGAACTGTATTTGGCATATAAGAGCTCAATATATATTTATTGACTGAAGGAACTTAGACCTTCATATTTAACATTGTTACTCATTTTCCTTTTTCCAGTGTCTGACACAGTGCTTATTACTTTATGTTGATGTTGTTGTGTCCTGGAGAGTCAGAACTGATCCATAGCAGATCCTCCAATGGGTTTTCAGAGGCAGTTAATCTCCCAAGGGGAAATTTCACATCCTTCTCCTGCGGAGCATCTGGTGGCCTTGAACCATATGCCTTCGGATTTCAGTGCAGCTTCTTGCTACTAGGCCACTAGAACTCAGTAGTTGCTAAACCTAAGATCATTTGAAAATATGGAAGATAAAATCATTCCTGTACTTCTTTAATTCAGCCTTTGTTCTATAGTACACCAGTACTCAAAAGTTTTGACAGAAGCGGACATATAGTTGACCTGACTTGTAGGGGGCTGGGTTGTTTTTTAATTGTTGCTATTTCCTGTTTTATTTTAAAGGTCTTTTTTTCAGTCATTCAGGAGTTAGTCGAAGTGTTGCTGTAGTGACTGCTTATATGATGAAGACTGACCAACTTACCTTTGAAAAAGCTTATGAAAACCTCCAGACTGTCAAACCAGAGGCAAAGTAAGTTCTTTGGTATGGTAATAATTTTGCTTTTCTGATAGCAGTTTTACTTAAAGAAAAGTGAACTTTATATTTGTGCTTATAGGATGAATGAGGGGTTCGAGTGGCAGTTGAAATTATATCAAGCAATGGGATATCAAGTGGATACCTCTAGTGCAATTTATAAGCAGTATCGTTTGCAAAAGGTTACAGAGAAATATCCAGGTATGTAAAGAGAATAATAATAATAACAACAACAACTAGTATGTATTGGGTGCTTTTTGCTTTCCAAGTGCTGTTTACCTGCTATAAATGCTTCTAGTGATTTTTCACTTAACCTTTTCAGCAAGCCCTTGAGACAGATGCTGTTTATCTTTAAAAAAGTCTGACTTTTCAGGAAGTCAAAAAACACTGGGAGCTCTCTGTATACATGTATATTTAATTTTAATTATGAAAATTCTAGGAAGCTCTGGTGGCCTAGATGATGAGGACTTGTGCTACCAATGCAGAGAAAGGAATAAGAATTTACCAGTTGTTCCATGGGAGACAGATGGGCAATCTCCTCTCGTGATTTACAGACTGGAAACCTGTTGGAGGGTCAGCTATGATTATATATTTTATTTTTCTTATTTAATTAAAAAAATCTGACTTGGTCTAGTTTATGAAATAGATAGACTTGCAACTATTGCCAAAAATGCACAACCAGGAGAGGATAAAATTAACAGAAGAGACCTTCTTAAAGTCAAATCCCTGTGTTCAGCAACAACTTTCTCCAGTAGGATAAAAAGCAAACTAGGAAGAAACGTTTGGCAAAGACATTTCAGACAAAGATCTCATAACTAAAGTGTTCCAAATTCTGCAGGACTTCCACAAGAAAAAGACAGATAATCCAATCAAATGAGCAAAAGACATGAAGACTTCACGAAGGAGGACAGTCAGAGAGGGCTAACAAACACCTGAGGCATGAAGAGTTGTTCAAAATCACTAGCAATTAGAGATGCAAATCAAAACAACAATGAGATACCACCTCACCATAGCAGCAATAGCAAAGTTTAGTAATACAGTAAGCAATAAATATTGATGAGAATGCAGAGAGATTGGAACTCTTGTGCATTGCTGGTGAGAGTATGAAATAGTACAACTGTTATGGAATGTCATTTGGCATTTCCTAAAAAAGCTGAATTCAAAAATCCCATATGACTTGGCTATTCCACTACTAGGAAAATACCCCAAGGAAATCAGACCTGAGACACAAAGGAGAGAATTTATACCTATGTTCATAGCAGTGTTATTCACAATAGCCAAAAAAAAAAAAAATCAAGACAGCCCAAATGTCCATCAACAAACAAACGGTTGAGAAATTATGGTACTTTTACACAAAGGAATACGATGCAGCACTAAGAAACAATGATTTTGTAAAATACTGTGTAACATCGGAGAGTCTAGAAAGCATTTTGCTGAGTGAAATAACTTAGTCTCATAAGGACAAATATAAGATCACTACTGTGAAAATAGGAGGATAACTGAGATGTATAAATGTTCAAAACAAGAAAAGGAAGGAGAAAAGGGAAGGCAGAAAAAAGGGAAGGGGAAAATCAGTAGGATGTCAAAGATATGGGGATGAAGGATTAGGAAAGAAGCAGTGGAGACTTGAAAAGATGTGGCACTAACAGGCATAGGTTAATAGTAATTATGTAAGATGTATATAAATGTATAACAGAAAATGTACCTGAATTAAACAATATATATGAATGATTTTATGCCATCCAATTAAAAACAAACTAAGTAACTGTGGCTTAGAAAATAATGTGTTTGAGGTCACATGATTTATAAGTACTATGCCTGGGATTTGAACTTGGCATTGTTTGTCCAGAACCCAAGAATTTAATCACTGTGTTCCCCTACATTATCATGACTTCTCCATCTTGGAATTTTTATTCTCTTCCTTTTTGACTTCTGAGATTAGCACTGCCTCAAGTTGATATTAACTGAATTTTGTCTGAAAATGCAGTTGATTTTGACAAATGTGTATGTTTTAATTTTGTTGTATAGAGTTACAGAATTTACCTCAGGAACTCTTTGCTGTTGATCCAACCACCACTTTGCAAGGATTGAAAGATGAAGTTCTCTACAAATGTAGAAAGTGCAGGTAAAATATTTCGTATCCCCCGAAAGGTTTTATCTTCCCTCAGTAGCTGAAAAAGAATTAAAAGTTTCAGTTTCTGTGATTTCGCTGAGGGGAATTTATTCAATTTGAATAGTATAGATTTTAAAATAGAAATTTTTGAAAGTAAAAGTAATCAGATTGTTGAGAATAAAAGTAGCATAATCAATGTTACATTGTTTTCTAAGAAATACTATATGTTTCTTCTTTTTTAACATTTTTAAAATTTTTTTGGGGTGCACGTAATATTTTCTGGGTTTTGGGGGCCTTGCAGACGATCCTTATTTAGAAGTTCAAGCATCTTGGATCATAATGAAGGAAGTGGCCCAATAGCCTTTGCTCACAAGAGGACGGCACCATCTGTCATGCTCACAACAGGGAGTCGGGCTCAGTGTACGTCTTACTTCATTGAACCTGTACAGTGGATGGAATCTACTTTGTTGGGAGTGATGGATGGGCAGGTAAAAACACATTTTATTTTCTACCATTTCATTATGTCAACTATATTTTGTTCCTTCTTTCATCTTAAATAAATTGTAAGTGTTTTGTGCCATCTTATTTTCATTCCTTCTGAAAGTTACACTTCTTTCCAATGTCAGTTTATTAATAAATTTTTTTTTTGGGTTCCCCTGTTTTATTGAAGAGGTTATACAAAATATTTGAAATAAATGAGTTTTAATTCTCATCTTCCTCTTCTTCATTCTGGTTAATCTGGAAGTAACTTAATTTGTAACTTTCTTTGCTCTTAGCAACTATGTACAACCAATCACTTAGGTGATGATTCTTTAGATATTTTTTAATCACATAGATAATTTTATTCTTCAAATATTTTTTTTAAGATATTTTGCTAAAATACCTTTTAGCAAAGGGCACCTTGGAGGGTAGCATTATCTTCCTCTTGCCTCTTTCCATGGTTACCACCCTCCCCTGAGATTACCGGCTTTCTCATTAACTTTGATTCGTTCTTGAAGAAACTACTCAAAATTGGCAGCATCCATAATTCCATCTTCTACTGATGGGAACAGTCAAGGGCAAACTTCAGAACTTGCTTCTTTTTTTCACCCTCCCTTTGCCACAGGCTTTTGCACAGGTGCAATGGCAAATGCAAAATCTGAAAGAGTTTGGCCTACTATGCAGACACAAAGAGCCTGCAGCTGATTTATTAATCAGTTTTGTTAGAATGATCAGTACAAAGCTAGTACCTATGTTGTTGTTGTTATGTGCTGTTGAGTCACCTGCGACCCATAGTGACCCTATTGTACAGCAGCTCTGAACCCTGCCCTGTCCTGAGCCAGTTTCACTAATTCTGACACTCCAACCTCCATTACCCCAGTTACTGTATCAATCCATCTCATTTGGGGTCTTCCTCTCCTTTGCTGTCCCTCCACCCTTCCCTTCCGAGCATGATGTCCTTTCTCCAAGGACCGATCTCTCCTGGCCACATGCCCAAAGTAAGTGAGGCGGAGCTTCAAAATCCTAGCCTCCAAGGAGAGACTTGATTTTACCCTCTTCAAGACAGATCTATTTGTTTTCTTGGTGGTCCATGGTATGTTCAAGACTTTTCTCCAGCACCACAATTTGAAGGCATCAGTCCCTATGCGAGAGAGGTTAAAAAATTTTTCTAAATGTCCACTTTTCTCAAGTTACTGTATCATCCTATCATCTGTAATACCAACTACCCCTCTTCCCCTCAGCACTCTCTTCCATCTTTAAATCAAGATCAAACCCACTACAGTTGAGTCTAACTCAGCTGCCATAGGTTTACCAGGCTGTAAATCTTAATGGGAGACGACTACCCATGTTTCTCCCATGTAACTGTTGGCATGTTTGAACTACCAGCCTTTTGGTTAGCAACAGACCCTGACACACACTGTGCCACTAGGGATCCTTCTCCCATCTTCAAAGTCAAAGTCATTGCTGTGAAGTCAGGACTCCACATAGCTGACCTTCAGCAGGTTTTTGGGAGGCTGTAAATCACAGGGGGGAGAGATTATCTATCTTTGTCTTGAGTTGCTGCTGAGCTGATGGATTCTGACCTCCAGAGAGATGTCTCCTTTAGGTTAGCAACACAGTTCCCTATGTGCTACTTCCAAAACAGATTTGTTTGTTCTTCTGACAGTCCATGGTATACTCAGTATTCTTTAACAACACCATCATTCAAAGACATCATTTCTTTTATGGTCTTCCTTGTTTATTTTCCAACTTCCTCATTCATTTGACTTGATTGAAAACACAGTGGCTTTGTTCAGACACACCTTAGGCAAAGGACATTTTTTAAAACCCCTGCTTGACATATCTGATAGTAGGCTCTTTCCTGCTGGGGCAGTGGAAGCTAGTGAATCAGATTAGATAGTGGACTGCTGACTTACAGAGCAGCTGGGAGAAAAATCACAAAGGAGGAAGAAACTGCCTATCTTTCCACCAAGGAGCAGGTGGTGCATTTGAATTGACAGAGAGGCACTACCTTTGGTCGCTGTTGCTGTTAGATGCTGTTGAGTCAACTACAACTGATAGAGACCCTGTGAACAATAGATCTGAACTTTGCCCTATCCTGTGCTATCTTCATCATTTCTGCCACATTAGAACCCATTATGTCAATCCATTTCATTAAGATTCTTCCCTTCCTTCGTTGACCCTCCAGTTTTCCAAGCATGATGTCCTAACTACTTGCCCAAAGTACATGAGATGAAGTTTCACCATCCTTCTCTTTAAGAGGCTCTGTCCTCTCCAAGACATACCTGTTTGTTCTCTCGGCAGTCCATGGGATGTTGTTGTTATGTGCTGTCAAGTCACTTGTGACTCATAGTGACCCAATGTGCAACCGCTCTGAACTGTGCTCTATCTTGAGCCAACTTTATTGCCTCTGACATACCTACCCCCGTTATTCCAGTCACTGAGTCAGTCCATCTCATCCAGGGTCTTCCTCTCTTGTGCTGTTCCTCTACCCTTCCAAGCATGATGTTCTTCTCCAAGGACTGGTCCTTCAAATCTACTGTCAGGAGCCTCTCCAGAACACTGAAGAGCAATGATGTCTGTCTAGAGACTAAGGTGTACCTCATCTAAGCCATGGTCTTTACAGTTACTTGGTGTGCATCAGACAGCTGGACAATGACTAAGGATGATAAAAGAAGAATCTCTGTCTTTGAGTTGTGCTAGAGAAGCATATTGAACTGGTATTGAAGAGTATTGAATGTGGACTGCTAAGAGAACAAAAAGGTCTGTCCTAGAGAGGGTAAAATTAGGCCGCTCCTTGGAGGCAAGGATTTTGAAGCTCTGACTCACATACTTTGAGCATGTTGCCAGGAGGGACCAATCCAAGGAACATGGAATACTTTTCTCCAGACTTTGACTGCCTTTGGGTTAGCAGTTCAACTCCCTACACACTACATCACCACTAAAGCTTCCTGAAAGAGAAGAGCTGGCAAATCCCAAATCACCAGTTCCGACAGCTCACTTTAGGCTCACATTTCAGGAACTGCAGGTCAGTGGGTGGTAAGCAGATGCAGGGTCCAAAGCAAGAAAGAATTTTGACTGATATGCACTGATATGTATTAGATGCAAACAATACCCTCAAGGGACCCAAGAGTGGTGACTTGAATCACACCCTATAGTAAAATTGTGACTCAAAAATACATCCTTTTCTGAGGTTGCCTTACTAATACAACAGGCTGCTCACTTTATAATGAGACTATAACCAGATTATGGTTGTGTCACTTTGTGCCGTCAAGTCAAAACTGACTCAGATGACCCAATGAGTTTTCAGAGGCTGTAAACAGCATGGGACAAGATGGACCATCTTTTTCTCACAGAGTAGCTGATAGATTTGAACCTCTAGTCATTGGGCTGGCTGCACAATCCCTTACCACTAGGCCATCAGAGCACCCTAACCACATGCATGTTGTTGAATATCTTGGAATTGGAACTCATAGCTAACTGTCCAGTGGGTTTTCAGAGGTAATAAATCACATGGCAAGAGATTGTTTTCTCCTGTGGAGCAGCTAGTGGATTTGAACTGAGTACCATTGAGTTGGCAGCACAGCGTCTTACCACCAGAGCTCCGTAACCACATGTATAGAAGCCAAGATTTACAATACATTACAAAGTGGATGACTGTACTGGCCATAATAAAATTAAAATATTGAGATTTTATTAATTTTTTAAAAGATGGTGCCATTTTTATTTATACCCAAAATACTGAAAAACTTGTGGCTGAGAGCTGTTCTAAGTTAATAAATTCCTTTTAATGATATCTATAGAATAAATCTGTATAGCGCTCTGGTAGCCTAGTGATAAGGCGCTAAGCTGCCAGCTCAAAGGCTCATGGTTCAAATTCATCAGCAGCTTCATGGGAGAAAAGATGGGCAGTCTCCTCTCAGGCGATTTACTGCCTCTGAAAACCCACTGGACGGTCAGCTATGAGTTGGTTCCAATTCAACTGTACTCAAAAGCTAAGCTCAGAAGGCAGGAAAGGTTAGAGTAGGAGGACTGACAGAAATGAGAACCACAGAGGAAGTGGGAAGAGTGTGATTACATTGTGGATACTGCAAGTATTATTATAAAATAAAGTAGGTAAATGGTTGAATGGAAAATCAGTTTGTTATGTAAATTTTCGTTCAAATCACAATATAAAGAGAAAAGGTTTTTATCATCAAAATGGGGGGGGGGGAAATATTGTCTTGGAGTTCTGAGGGCTGGAAGTCCAAATCAGTGCATCATTTGGGTCATGATTCCTCCAAATTCCCTAGGTAGAAGGTCCTTTCTTTTCTCTTCCACCTTCTGGCAGTTGCAGCCTTGTCTTGTCTTATAATGGGTACATCTTCCCATGTCTGTGTCCTTCATTTCTTCATCTCTTTCCTAAGGATGCCACTTAGATTGGATTGGGACACTGTCTAACTTATTGACAGGATACATATTTAAAAACTATTTCCAAACAGGATCATATTCACTAGTATGGGGGTTAGAACCTCAGTCAATCTTTTTCAGAGTGCAGAATTTCAATCCATAATTGAATCCACTTGAATTTATGCCTAGGAGTGGAAATGCTGGGTGGTTATATGAGGCACTCAGGCCTGGTTTAAATTGTTTTCTGTCAAACATTCTTCTAGGTGGTATAGCACTGGTCTGTGCATCACCGTACAGAGGTAACTGGTGGTTGCTGTGATGCTAAACACTGTGACAGTGATGTGCCAAATGCGATAATGGTTATCTATGGTGGACTGTGGTTGGTGGAGCTTCCTGATTAAAACAAGCCTGGAAGCAGGAGTGGCATCCACTTCCGAAATGGCTTGCCTCTGGAAACTATATAAACAGTGCTCAGGTCTTTCATTCATAGGGTCGGTATGAGTTGTCTATGACCCAACGTCACTTAACAACAAACAACATATGGTAGCTCAGTGTTAAGCATTTTGTGGTACTGCCAAACTGTTTTCCAAAATAGCAACGGTTTATATTCCTGCCAGCATTAGGATTTGGAGGGAGACTTATCAACAACTTGTGTTAAGTAGACGACACAGCCTAGCTTACTGAATATGAAGAGGATTTAAAACACTTGCTGCAGAAGATCAATGACTATAGCTTTCAAGGTAGATTATATCTCAACATGAAGAAAACAAAATTTTCAACAAGAATTACTTGTTACTTGTTTATTTTTATTTCTTTTTAATTACGTTACATAATTTTTTTATTGTTGAATATGTTTTTTTGTTGTTGTTGTCAAGTTGCTTGTGACTCAGCGACCCTATGTACAACAGCTCTGAATGCTGCTCTATCTTGAACCAACCTCATTATCTCAAATACACCTACTTCCATTACCCCAGTAACTGAGTCAATCCATCTCATCCAGGGTCTTCCTTTCTTATGCTGTCCCTCTACCCTTTCAAGCATGATGTCCCTCTCTAAGGAATGGTCCCTACTTGCAACATGCCCAAAGTATGTCAGAAGTGGCTTCAAAATCCTTGCCTCCAAGAAGGAGCCTGGTTTCACCCTCTCCAAGACAAAACTGTTCTCCTAGCCAACCATGGTATATTCAATAGTCTTTAGCACCTCAACTCAAAGACATTGATTCTTCTTCTGTCATCCTTAGTCATTGTCCAGCTCTCTGATACATAGCAAGTAACAGTGAAAACCATGACCTGAATCAGGTGCATCTCAGTCTCTAGACTGACATCATTGCTTTTCTGTACTCTGGTGAGGTTCCTGACAGCAGATTTTCCCAGTGAAATTCATTTTTTGGTTTCCTGGCTGCTGGTCCCAAGAGTGTTTGTGGAGTTAAGCAAGCTGAAGCTGTTAACAATCTCAGTCTCGTTCTCCGTTTAGCGTCATGTTGCCAATTGGCCCAGTGGTGAGAATGTTTGTTTTTTGATGGTGAGTTCTGACAGAGCCTGCCATCAGAATGGACAGGGTTGGGATGACAAGGAGTATGGATTAAAGAAATTTATTACACAACAGAAAGAGTTAGAAAAAAAAAAAAAGAAAGAGTTAGGAGAGGCATACAGAAAGATTTCTGTAGCCCTGAGTTTATTATTTCCTCAAGGCAGACAATACATTTGTTTTGATTTATGAGCCACCTGCTAGCAAGGCTTCCAATTAGCAAAAAGGCCATCAGAATTGAAGTATATAAATAGAGTCTTTAGGGAGGGACATACCGTTCTGCACATCCTTGCATGGCCTTGGGGTTCAAGGAACGGTTAAACTTGTTTTTGCTCCCTTTCAAACATCTGCACATTTGAACCTGGCACAAAATGGCTACTTGCATTTTCTTTTGTTCATATATTGTTTTATAAAATTCTTCTGTGTCAGTCAATTCTTTTTGTATAGTGACTCTGTGTTCTCCTTCCATCTTCTTTTGATGCTTCCTGGGTCATTCAACATTCTGTCCACAGCATCCCTGAGTATTGCATCTTGAGGCTTGAATTTGTTCTTCACTTCCTTCAGCTTAAGAAAGACTGAGCGAGTTCATCCCTTTTGATTTTCTAACTCCAGCTCTTTGCACATGTTATTATAATACTTTGTTTTCATGTGCTACTCTTTGAAATCCTCTGTATTTGTTATATTCTGCATTTTCATCACTTTTCAGACAAATATTTATCCTTGTTCTGTGAGTTACTTTTTCACTTTCTGGGTGGTTTTATTTTGTTACTATGGTTTAAGTGAACGTTTTCAGAGCAAATTTATTTTCCATTCTGCCATTCATACATATTTCCTTTATGATATTAGTTACAATACCCTTATTGTAGCCACACTTCCCACTTAAGAGCAACTCCATTTCTTCCTTTGCTTTAATGATACTGTACTGATAGTCCCCTTATTGTATACTGCCTTTCCTTTTACCCCTCTTAATATAATAAATATTTATTACCTACTTAAGAAGCTCTGGTGACCTTGTGGGTAAAGAGTTGCACTGCCAACTCAAAGGCAGGTATTTCAAATCCACCAACCACTTTGTGGGAGAAAGATGGGCAGTAAATGCACAGCCATACAATTTACAGCCTCTGAAAACTCTGGAAGGTCAATTTAGAGTTGGTTCTGCCTCGATGGCTATGAGTTTGAAGTGGGTATAACACTAACCAAAAGGTCAGTTGTTCAAGGTCACTAACTGTTCCAAGGAAGAAAGATGAACAGTTTCATCTTGAAAGAGTTACAGTGTTGGAAACCCAATGTAGGGCTGCTAAATTACAATTTAGAGAGTTTTATCAGTCTCTACTGATTAAATTTTAATCCAAAAACGTTCCAATTTTAATTATATAACATCTTTATTTATCAACCATTTGTAACTTTTTTCCCTGTAAATTGCATTTACATTCTTGGTCCATTTTTTCTGTGATATTTCTTGTTTTTTCATCATTCATAGGGGCTATATTATATATTATAGATGATAATGTAACATTTAATACCTTACAGATTTTTTTTCTGTAATCTATGGTTTTGTCATATTAAAATTTCTAACATAGCAGTACAATCAAATCTAACCATTCTTTCATTTGTGGCTTCTGAGTTTTTATGGATTTCTATATCCCAAGATTAAAAATAAAAATTTCCACCTCATATACCATGCAAACATTAAAAAATTAAATGTAAAAATTAATGCTACAAAGACATTCAGTCACTCATTGTCATGGAGTCAGAACTGACTCATAGCTGACCCTTCAGGATGTTTTCAGAGGCTGTAAATCGCACAGGAAATTGCCCATCTCTGTCAGTGGAGCAGGTGGTGGTTTCGAATTGCTAGCCTTTGACAACTCCTTACCTCTTTAGAAGGAGGAAAATAAAAATATTTTTAGATTTATCTATTTTACTGGAGTATCCATTTGTTTTTCTAGAACTAAAAATCTGAGGTGAACTAACCTATGCTATTACTATCACTTAGTAATCGAACATGACAATCCTAAGAAATTGCTTTTCTGTCTAAGCGTGTTCTACTCAAGCATGCTTTTATCTATCCTTGATGATTTTAGTTTGAAATCTTAAATTGCAGACTGATTTAAAAGCTATGTGCAGTGTCCTTAATTGCCTTTCAGGCTTTTTACTTTTCTGCTCTCAAGCTGGAATCACATTTCTTGTGTCTTTAAACTCTCAGAGTACTACATAATACTTCTCACACAATTATTGTAGTAATTTACTAGAGTAAATTGCACATGTATTTTGTCAGTGATAAGATTATAGACCGCCTGAAGACAGAAACCCTGTCTTATCTGTTTTCATATGTTTTAGAGCCACAGATAATTATTTGTTTTGTATTAATGTGTGTGAATAAAGTAACACATTTGCTTTATTTCAGCTTCTTTGCCCAAAATGCAGTGCCAAGTTGGGTTCCTTCAACTGGTATGGTGAACAGTGCTCTTGTGGCAGATGGATAACGCCTGCTTTTCAGATACATAAGAATAGAGTGGACGAATTGAAAACACTGCTTGTTTTGGGATCAGAACCAAGAAAAATATGAATGTGTGACATTTGATGGCTTCAGAAGAAACTTACTGAGGATATGTACTACCTTTGACTATTATTTATGACAGATTTTTTTAAGTTTTAGGTTATCGTCATTTCATTTGAAGTATGAGAAGACAAAATCCCTTGATAACTTTGTTTATTATACAGGTAGAATATATTCTATAGAAATCACAACTTTTTACATTATATACATTGTACTTCATTTAATATTAAAATCTTCTGTATCTCTACATACATTATTTCTTGTATTTTAAAAGTTCTGGATTTTGAAATGTTAGTTATGTGGGCTAGATAGACCAAACTTTGTATAAAAATTAGAAATGCTTATGTTTAAATGGATATTCTTTACTTCTAGAAATGCAAAACAGGTTTATTTTCCCATGTTTGGGAAATTTATTCTCTTGGTCTTTTTTTTTAAGGACATTAGTAATTTTATTTGTGTCTGGATTTTTTTTTTTAAACATAGAAAGGCAATGGAAATATGTTCTGTTATTGTTTAGGAATCTCAACCAACTAAATTGTTTAGAAAAGCATATTAGAGACACCTCCTGAAGTAATCTACAGAGAGAAATGTATTCATGTAAGGTAGATTTCTAGCAATGGTAAAACAACTTCTTAAAACACCAAAAAGGAAGTAATTTTAAATGTATAGGAAAAAATTTGAATGACGATTCTCTCTTTTTAAAAATGCCTGGCCTCATTTGGAATAGAGTATTATTAAGCTTCATAATAATGAGAATTTATTTTTCAAAAGTGACCTTTACAATGACAAGCCCATTTGGATTACCTAATTATTATACTTACTGTGCAATTTTTAAATGAGGGAACCTAACTTTGTGGATTTGATGTTGTTGTTGTTTACACAAAGAAAAGTGACTAAAACACAAAAAGTAAATTTCTCAACTCTTTCACAATATTCCCATGTTTTCATTTGGGAAGACTTCTGTAATTTGATCATACCAGAAAGTTAATCATCAATTCCACTCAGTTTAACTAGCCCATAGTAGAGTTTGTGAGCTTGTAAATGTTAAAGAGATGTGCACATAACTGTTTCTGTCCTCAAAACCTTGAAATCTAGTGATAGGGACTGAAATTTTCTGAAGTATATTATATTAATTTCTGTCTTGAAAAAATTTCAGTAAATCCTATAAAAAATGCCTGGCCTTTTTTTTTCTTAAAATGTATGGAGGTATTATGATTCTTGAGAAAATACCAGCATAGCTGTCTTTGGCAACTTCCAATGATAGTCTTTTCATAGTATTACCACTAAAGTCTGATAGTTCTTAAGTTAGTTTTGTCACCCTAGATTGCTATGTCCTTCCAACCTATCCCAGAATAAATGACACATATAAGTATAAATCCTTGTCTTTTTAAATTGTGTTTCGCAAAATCTTCTATGTCCTCTCACTCCCAAATAAAGGGAAAGGATTTACTGTAGGCGAAGAACAAAAGGGTATAGATCCACAACATGGGTGGAAAATTTTAATTCCTTGCCTCCAAAAGTAGCTCAGAGACTCATTCAGGGAGCCAGGTGTAGATACTAGTCATACCCTCTGTCATCCATTCCCATCAGTCAGCCGACCCATGCCTCTCTGCAGTTCAGGATGATAAAAACTGTGTAAGGATTTCTGACTTCTAAATTCACAAAAGGAGAAGGAGAATAAAAATCAGTAGCCCAAGGCTGATTCCTATGAAAGGGGTTACATCTACAATTTTACCAATCTGACACCACCTTTACTTTCCATTCTCTACTTCTCTGTTGTTGGGCCACTGGGCCATGACTGTTATGTTCTTCTCTGTTTCTATAGTTTCTAACACTCAGCTCCTCCAGCTTCTTAAGCCAGCTTGACCTCTGCCTTGCTCAAGCAAGTTTACAAAGCTTTTTATCTTCATCCTCCCAAGTCAACATCCTACCTGAAGGGACTCAGTTTTACCTTGGGCCGTCTCTCTCCTGTTGTTTCTGTAGGCATTAACTGTCTCTCTTACAGCTCTAGATCCTCAGTCTAGAAAGTTGTTAGCACAGGAGTCCTGGTTACAAAGTATGCACTTTCCTCCCATCTTTTCGTAGGGATTTTGAAGTTCAGCTTTCTACCTCTAGGTTAGCTCATTGTATGCCTCTGAGAGACTAAAACTAACCAGTCTTACACTTGACTTACTTGACTCCCTCCCTTCTCCTTATTTGCATTTTTAACAAGCTATCTAATCCTCTTGGTTGGTCCAAGAACCTCATTTACATAGTTCCACCCAGTAATTTGATGGGAGTAACAAAGACTATAATTGGAAAGAAAAACAAGGAACTCATGCAATATTATTCAAAATGGGTGACCCTGGTGGACATTATGCTGAGTGAAATATCTAAGTCACAAAAAGACAAGTACTGCATGGTGCCACTGTTGTAGATTGGGACTGACATTAGGGTTGAGTAAGACAGAAAAACTGGATAAATTATGTACACTACATTGAAACAGATGAGGGAGAGAACAGTTTAAAAGCGATATATGATGATGAAGGAAGAAGTTCAAGCTGCTTTGAAGAAAATAGCAAAAAAATAAGGCCCCAGGAATAGATGGTATACCAATTGACGTATTTCAGCTAACAGATGCTGCCCTGGATGTGCTCACCAAGTTGGGCCAAGAAATCAACCACTTGGCCAACTGGCTGGAAGAGATGTATATTTGTTCCCATTCCAAAGAAGGGTGACCCAACAGAGTATGGAAACTATAGAATATCATTGATTTCACATGGAAGCAAGATTCTACTGAAAATTATCCAAAAACGACTGGAACAGCACATCTGCAGAGAACTGCCAGAAGTCCAGGCTGGGTCTAGAAGGGGTCGTACTAGGGATATTGTAGCTAATGTTAGATGGATTTTAGCTGAAAGCAGGAATACCAGAGGAATGTCTATCTGTGTTTCATTGATTATGCAAAAGCGTTTGACTGTGTGGATCATAACAAACTGTGGCTGACTCTGAGAAGAATGGGAATCCCAAAACACTTGATCGTTCTAATGTGAAACCTATACTTGGACCAGGAAGCACTCATCAGAACAGAGCAGGGAAACACTGCATGATTCAAAATTGGGAAAGGTGTACTCCAGGGATGTGTCCTGTCTCCATACCTTTTCAACCTGTATGCAGAACAGATTATCTGAGAAGGCTGGGCTCTATGAGGAGAAGTATGGCGTCAGGATTGGTAGAAAATCTATTAACAATCTGCGCTATGCAGATGACACAACCCTGCTTGCTGAACCTGAGGAGGACCTGAAATGCTTGCTGCAGAGGGTCAAGGACTGCAGCCTTCAGTATGGATTGATTCTCAATGTCAAGAAGACAAAGATTCTCACCACTGGGCCAATTGGGCAGCATCAGGATGGATGGTGAAGAGATTGAGATTGTTAACAACTTTAGTCTGCTTGGCTCCACGGTCAACACTCTTGGCACCAGTAGCCAGGAAATTAAAAAAAGTATTGCAATGGGAAAGTCTGCTGTTAGGGACCTCTCCAGGGTACTGAAGAGCAATGGTGTCACTCTGAAGACTAAGGTGTGTCTGATACTGGCTATGGTCTTTGCAATCACTTGTTATGCATCAGGGAGTTGGACAATGACTAGGGAGGATAGAAGGAGAATTGATGCCTTTGAGCTGTGGTGCTGGAGAAGAGTACTGAATGTACCATGGACTGCTATGAAAACAGATTTAACCCTGGAAAGGATTAAAGCAGGCTGCTCCTGGGAGACAATGATTCTGGGGCTTTGTCTGACATACTTTGGACATGTAAGGAGGGACAGGTCTTTGGAGAGGGATGGCACAAGAGGGGAAGGCCCTCTGAGGTGGATTGATTCAGTGACTGGGGTAATCGGGCGGGATGGATGTGTCAGAGACAGTGCAATTGGCACAGGATAGAGCAGGGTTTAGGGCTGTTGTCCATAGGGTCACTCAGCTCGATAGCACATAACAACAACAACATTATGGTTATCACAGAGTCCAGAGTTAAGGTTGCATAGTGGAGTGCACTGGGGGTGGGGGAAGATTGTATACCAGTGAAGGAGTTTCTCTTTTGCTTTTTGAAGAGAGGAGCGAACTGGGGTGGAGGGCAGGAAGAAAAGTGCAACAGTGAATGAATAGAAATCCAAAATATCGAAATGTTCATTAAAATTAATAAAAATTAAAAAGCCATCATATTTAAGTAATTGTTCCACAAGGCACTAAAATTAGAGTTGAGATTATCTACAGTAAGAAACAAATTACCTGTTAGATCTGATAATGGGGATTCTTTTTAGTTTGTTCAAAAAAATTAACATGTTTTAATAAAAGTATATTTTTGGTTAATTTTCTAAAATTAATGCTAGTGAATCTGAACATGAAATCATCGTCCATTTTTATTTTAGCTTTCACAAAATTTATATTTACTTATTTAGGAGAGGAAAAACCCAGGATGAGATGGGTTGACTCTGGAGAAATGGGATTGGGTATAATGAGATTGGCTCAGAATAAAGCACATTTCAGAGCTAATGTGCACAGACAGGGTCGCTATGAGTTGCAGGCAACTCAATGGCACATAACAACCACATTAGCGACATTATCCTTCTGAAAACTTATTTTTTAAAAAGAGGTGTGTGTGGGTGTGTACCATCAAATCGTATCTGACTGGTACAAGAAGAGATTGTCCCGCCTCCAGCCGAGCATCTGGTGGATTCAAACGGCATACCTCTGGGATTGCAATGCAGCTTTTCTCCAGTAAGCCACCAGAGTTCCTTTGAAAGCTTTTTTTTTTTTTTTAAATGAGATTGAACTACATAAAAGTATTTTTGTAGATGGAAGTGATTGAATTGCAGCCATTTCATATGGCTCAAGTTAATGCTTATTCATCATGCACTAGCATCTAACACAGAATTATATAGATCATATTTATATAATTTGAGGTAACAATTGTTACTTCAGTGAATAATTACTGGGCATGTATTAAACGGTGGTGTGGCGAACAAGCCAAATA